ATAAATGGCACAGTTGCTAAACTCTGGTTGAGAAAACAAGATGTTCCTCTCAGTATTTCCTGAAAAGAACCTTCGCACCCTGTGATGATGCTCTAGAGGAGAGGAGGTAAGAAGAGCAGCTGGAAGCAGATGCCCAGAGAAGTCCGAAGTGGAGATGTTCCTGGAGGGAAGCCAGACAGCTCATAAAGCTCGCATGTTCCTGCCCTATCCTCCCAAAGACAACAGTGAGGAGCAGCCCAGAGGAAGTGCAAGTTAGAATCTAGCTCTGTGCTTTGTTATTCGAGCACACATAATTCCCATGTTTTCCACTGATGTTTGCTTACGTGGCTTAAGAAAGAGAAATTAAATATTTTACACATAACTCATGCGCCATGAGGACCTGAAAAAGAAAATACTGTTGTTTTACATATAAAGTCACAATACAGCTAGAGCAACTATATGTTAGACTTACCAGGGGAGTCTCATTATAGTTCACGCCAGGGGGAGTGTTAATAGTCTACCTTTCAATTTCAGAACTGAACTTTGTTAGATGATAAATTGTATGGTCACCTTTCTGTGGCTCATGTGGGTCAAGTGGAGTTCTCAAATTTAATTGGAATTATGTATTTCGCTTTGCAAAAGATTTTAATAAGACCAGTTCTGAAGTAAAAGAACTTGAAGATAGATATAATAAGGCCAAACAACAAGAACATCAAAATGAGGAACAAGGCAAATAGGTATTTGAAGGAAAACCTGTCCAAATTTTCATTTTAAAAAGAATGATAAAAATATTCTTTAAAAACGAAGCAGAGGTTTCTTTAGCAGCAGGTTCTCCTTTGAACATCTAAATTGTTAATAAGTATTTGTAGAAGGCCTCTTATGTACGATTAGTCATTGGGATAGGTGCCAGGGATAAGAAAATAAAAGACACAGCTCTTTTTTTAAAAGGTACTTATAAAAGAAAAATTCATATATACAGACAATAGTATGGCGATTATACCAGAGGGAAAGCGGGGTGGGGGAGGTGAGAGAGAGGAAAGAGGGAAAAATGGTGATAGAAGGAGACTTGACTTGGAGTGGTAAATACACAATACAATATACAGATGTTTTATAGAATTACACACCTAAAACATGTAATTCCATTAACCAGTGTCAACCCAAAAAATTCAATGAAAATTTTAAAAATTAAAATAAATAAATAGAAGGCACTTATAATCTGCAAGAAAAGACATTTACCTAAGCAAAGAAATGACACACAAGTGTCAACGCAGTGTCATTATTGCTATGATGAAGTGTAGACCAGGCACCATTGGAAGCCCTAAGATGCAAGTAAGGATGGGGACCAGGAAAGGGTTCACAGATGACTCA